TTCCCGTCAGACCCCCTGCCCGTGCCTTCCCTGGGTCACCAGCCCCGGGAGTCTCTCCTGTCCCCGCTGGTGGGATGGGCGGTGCGATGAAGCGGGGGGCTCTGGCCGGGGAGCAGGGCCAGGTGAGGATGGGCTTCCCGGACCTGGCCATCCTGCATCAGCTCCGGGAGCGGGGGGACCGCAGCTCAGAGCAGAATTGGGCCCCAAAGCCAGCAGAGGTGGGAGGGTTCCTGCCTCATCGAGGGAACAGCGTGGGCCACCAGAACAAGCCGGGTGGGAAGGGCGGCAGAAGGAGATGCTGCAAGGAAATTCGTTCCCCTGGGATTATCAGGGCCGGCTAGCTTCATAACTGTCTCCAGAGGCCACAGGCCTAACTGCAATAGTAATGGCACTGGGGGAAAAAAGATCAACCAGGGCAGAATGGGGGCATCACCAATCCAGTCATGGCAAACTGCTCCAAGCAGGGAGGAAAGGAGGAAAAGCCTCAGGTGGTTACAGAGAGGGTGAGAAAATACGGAAAAGGAGAAGGAAGGGGAGAGGGGTGGGAACTGAGCCACTAGTTCAGTCTAGGAGGGCACTTATCCATCCACAGAAAGATTAAGTTTACATCTGCTCCAGTCAAGGCATGGAGCAGGCCTATCCCTTCCTGGAATATATCGCTTGGGCATCCCTTATAGATGAAGACGTGAGAGGGGATCTGAGCTGGTAGGACCAGGGGTCACTGGCAGAGGTGAGTAGTCTCAGGACTAGGTTAGCAGTCTCGTTTGCTGGTTTTGTAACCGTGGGGTGTCTGGAGACCAGAGCTGCTTTAGCAGAAACGCACTAGGTGGGTGAGGTGTGTGGCCGAAAGACTTGCGCTTCAAGACGGCGGGATGGCAGGGTATTGCTGGAGTGGTGGCACGCACCCGTGGATGGGACGGGACGGCAGCAGCAGGTTACAATCCAGAACACTGGCAGAGAAAAGGTGAGGTCCAAAGACTGTGGGAGCTGTACAGCAGGAACGAGGGGCGTTGGAGCAGGTGCGTGGGGACGGCAGGACCCGAATGGCAGGGAGCGATGCGAATCAGGCCTTCCATTACAGAGATGGCAATAGTAATGCTTTGGGTGGGGAGCCTCAGACTAGAAGGGCAGGGAGCACAGGGTGTCTCAGCAGCACTGGAAGGAGTTGCTGGGGGCCAGAGCCCTACGTAGGGGCTGGTACAAATCTGGCTCTTCTGTTCCCTGAAAGACGCAGGGAGTGCTCTGCACAGCCTAAATCATGACCAGGTGTTTGTGTGGGCAAGGAGAGAGAGAGATCTGGGGAGAGAGAATGATCTTAAATTACTTTTTCTGTTTTCTGTCTTCTACAGTGAACCTCGTGCCCTGAATCTCCAAGGGAACCTTTGAAAAGGATCTTCCCCTCCCTGCCATCTCCTCATTGTTTGCCAATTCTGCCCTGCGCTGCACAGGGAAGCTTGAAAGAGCAGGCTGAGCCCTGGAGGGCAGCAAAAAGGACAATGTAGTGAGGGTGCCGTGGGGTCTCGGATAGGGAACCCTCTGAATCTTGTCCTCACCCTTCACTCTCCGCTGATGGCTCTCTGACAGCCTTGGCAGGAACCTCTACCTGGCCACGAGTGTGGCATTTGGTGAGAGAGGGGTTACACACGGTGTATGCACCACCCTCACCATTTCTGCGGGACCTTTGTCCTGCCTCCTGTCTTCTCTGAAACTCTTGGCTAGCTCCTTATTCAGTAGGACACTGGGCAGCAGGCACCTGCTACTACCAAACTGTTTGGAGTCCCCAGCAGTCCCTGTTTGCGTGTGGCCTTCACCAGTCCCAGCAGAAGGTGGTCCCTGAGTCAGAAGGTGCCTGGTGGGCACATGAAGTAAGGAGAGCTTTTTCTTTGGGGGAAGAGTGGAGGAGGGGGATGAAATAGATGGGGAGGGAAAAAAGAAGTGAGCCCAAGCGAGTGAGGGAAGAAGCACGGGCAAGCGTTCATGAGAAAGAGAGAGAAGGAAGGTGGAAGAAAGAAGAAGAAAGAGAACAAGGGAAAAAACAGGTGAAAAAGTTAGAACAAGGGAAAGAAATATAAGCAAACAGAAGGGAAAGGGAGGACTGAAAGTGAGACAGGGTTGACGGCTGTTCCACCTAGCACCTGGTGGCAATGCCTTGAGGAACCCCTCCGGCGTGCGTACACCTCGCATAGCAGCAGCAGCAGATGAGGAGGGACGTGGCTCCCCCAGTGTGGAGTCCCACTCACCCTCTTACAAAATCCCAGCGGCAGGGACAGGGTGCAGCCTAGCAGGGGTGGCAGCATGGGGGACTCTGAATCAGAGTCCACCTTGCACAACAACTCACTGTGGTGGCTGGCATGTGGGATGTTAGCCCTGTTGGCCAACTCTTGGATTATCCTCAGCATCACGGCCAAACAACAGAAACACAAGCCCCTGGAGCTGTTGCTATGCTTCCTTGCTGGGACCCACATCCTTATGGCAGCAGTACCCCTCACCACCTATGCCGTGGTGCAGCTGCGGCGTGAGTCCTCTGACTACGACTGGAATGAAAGCATCTGCAAGGTATTTGTCTCCACATACTACACCCTGGCGCTGGCTACCTGCTTCACAGTGGCCTCCCTGTCCTACCACCGGATGTGGATGGTGAGATGGCCAGTTAACTACCGGCTGAGCAATGCCAAGAAGCAGGCTCTGCACGCAGTCATGGGTATCTGGATGGTATCATTCATCCTCTCCACCCTGCCCTCCATCGGCTGGCACAACAACGGCGAGCGCTACTACGCCCGTGGCTGCCAGTTCATTGTCAGCAAGATAGGGCTGGGCTTCGGCGTCTGCTTTAGCCTCCTGCTGCTTGGAGGAATCGTCATGGGCTTGGTGTGCGTGGGTATCACTTTCTACCAGACCCTGTGGGCACACAGAAGACGCCGGCGGTGCCGCCATCAGAGGGCAGAGGAAGCGTCATCCTGCTCTTCATCAGCACACACTACTTTCAATGTGCCGGCCATTGTAGTGGAGGATGTACGAGGCAAAAGGAGGTCTTCACTGGATGGCTCTGAGTCAGCCAAGACCTCCTTGCAGATGACCAACCTCATCAGTGCTATTGTCTTCCTGTATGACACACTCACTGGGGTGCCTATCTTGGTAAGCAGCGAGTTCTCCCTTTCCCTTCAGAGTCTGCAGTTAAACTAGATTTCCCTTTCTCTCAAGTTTTAGAGAAGAAACTCTGTCTTCTGTCCACCAGCCACAGAGTTGCTGCATCAGAATCTGTGTTATTCTGAGGGCCGGTTTTAAAAAGATTGCAGTAATTCTCTCATCCTTCCACAGCAGCATTTTCTTAAGACAAGTCTAAGCCTGGGGAATACACACCACACAGCTAAAACCACTGTGAAAGGTTTATAGTGGCTAAGAGGAGAGCAAATTATTCTGCAGACTTACATGGGGATCTACCTCTGTAAAAACAATGAGATTTCTATTTCTCTAATTTGCTTCTGGAGAACTGATACACCAACTTTAAAAGCTGTTGCAGACAGTTTTCTTTTTCCTTCCGCTTGTATGGTCATAGTCAGCATTCAGGTTTTGGCTGGCTGGTTGATCCTCTGCAAAACTGGAATGCTGGGGAAGTTCTCAAAGGGAACCATTAAGAGGCTTAGTCACAGCTTTTTTTTCCAGTGGCTGTGTCCTTTGTTAGCACCTATTTAGCTCCAGCACATAATGAGCACGGGGAAGAAGGGATGCTAACACCAGGTCTCATGTTAGAGATATGACAGCTCGGAATATGGTCCAGCAAACCTGGGGCAGCACCCCAGGAACAGTTTTTCAAAGAGGCACGGGGTAATTACTTGACAAATCCTTCACAGACAGATTATGTTCTACTACAGAATTGACTCCCGTTATCTTTCTCCCTTGATCCCCACTTGTGTCTTCTTTCTCGGCGTTGTTTCTCTTTCTTACCTCGAAGGTCGTGAGCTTTTTTAGCCTGCGCTATGATACGGCCCCCACCTGGATGGTCCTGGCTGTGCTCTGGTGCTCCATGGTGCAGACCCTCCTGCTCCCCTCCTTCATCTGGTCCTGCGAGCGCTACCGAGCAGATCTCCGCACCGTGTGGGAGCAGTGTGTGGCTATCATGTCTGAGGAAGACGGAGATGATGGTAAGCTCCTCACTACCCCACAGTCACCTTTCTTCACTAACCCCCTCCCCAAAAGACTACAGAGGAAAGAGGGGTCTGCCGTGGGAAAAGGACCTGACGGCACTAGGAGTGGTGGTGTGGGTGGCTAGGTGGGATTCATGTTATAGCTTGGAGTCAGCAACCATGAGAAAATTTATTCTGGAGAAGGCTCTGCCGCTTACTTGCTGCCGTAAGACTCACTAGCATCCAGGAAAAATTAGTGCAACATCCTTCACAGTAGATGCAAAAGTAGAGACAATGTATACAGTTGCCAAACCACAACAAAAGTGACATGCCGGGCCTTAGCCCAACTCGTTGATCCAAAGGTCCAAGTTCTGGCAGTAAGCGATTCGAAAGTGAGACAGAAGAAACAGGGCAGTTTCTGGGTGCTTTAGTGCTGCTGCAAGCAGAAAGACGAGATCCTTGTTCAGAGGTGAGCCCTGAGGGCTGCAAGTAGGGTGGCAGAAGTCAGGCAAGCATTAGGATGGTGTCCGGGTGCCCTGATAACACTCCTTTTCTGGCTGAAAAGTGTTGACTGCCATTCTCCTCTTTGCCAACAGATGGTGTGTGTGATGATTATGGTGATGGCAGGATATGCAAAGTGAGATTTGATGCGAACGGTGCTGCAGCTGTGAAGCGGGACTCCCGGGACATCAAGCTGCTACCCATGCACCACATGTTGTTGCCCCAGGACAAGGTGCACTACCTGCAGGTGAGCCGAGAGCTAGCAGGGGCAGCCCCACAACCCACTTCCTTCTCTGTCAGTCTCCCACACCTTTGTGTCCTCTTGACTCTCTTCTCTGAGAAAGTCTCAGCTACTCCCCTCCTGTTCTGTCTCTTCAAGTCTTCCATCACCTGCCTCCTTCTCTGTTTTCCAGGTCCCTATCTCCCGGAGAATGTCACATGATGAGACTAACATCTTCTCCGCCCACCGCTCCGCTCCATCCTTCCTACACAAGTGGTCTTCATCTGACGACATCCGCATTTCCACCCCCCGCAAGCCTGGAGGCCCTGGCTTCTTGCCTCCTCAGCTGCATGACTACCAGCACCGCCGGCGGCCCCCAGAAGATGAGCTGACGACCCTACGGCAGTTTTTGGAGGGGGGGCTGATGCCCCGGGGCTCCAGCTCCAGTGCCTGCTTCTTCCGAGATGAGATCACCACGTTCATCGACGAGACACCACAACCCACCCCAGCCTGCAGCCCACGGCACTCCCGTCTCCCGCTCGCATCACGCCACGATCGCCGCCTCTCCCTTGGCAGCAGAGAGGAGGAGAACGCCGACCGGCCACGGCGCTGCTCCTTGAGTGGCAACGAAGCCTGGCATCTGCAGGACGGAGAGCAGGCACCGCGCGAAAGGACCCTTGAGGCCTGTGAGACACAAACCTTCCAGGATCCCAAACTATGAGAGACAGCATCAAAAACATTCAGTGCCATCACGATTTTTAAATAAAACTTCAAGTGTTCCCTTTGTCCCGGGACCCAATCACTAATTTGCATTTTCATCTCTCTCGCCAGCAGGCAGGAAACATGGCACCCCACGCTGGTGGGGGAAAAAGAAGTGGGACAGACCCGCAGAAGGGAGTGTGACTGACTGACGGACAGCCTGTGCCTGCTCTCAGGTTACAAACACACCCACCGCTGCCACCACCACTTGGCACCCTCGCCAGTCCCGTCCCTTTGTGAACTCCACCCTCGCATCCGCTCTGCCCTAAGAGACAAGGCAGGTGCAGAATGGTATTAAAATTCTATATTTGGAGTGTCAATTGTGTGTCTGTTTTTAAAATAATATATTAGTAATAATTTTGTTTCCATAGAAACAAAATGACTGGCCCAATGTTTAATGAAGCTTCACAGGCTTCTGGAAGGGAAGTGCAGAACATGCAACGCTCCTTCCTCCCTCTCCATCCCATTCTTGTCAGTGCATCTGGAAGGCAGCAGATGCTTAGCAGCCCAGGGAAGGGAACGAAGCCCATAGAGGAGTTGTCATGGGAGACTGGGTGAAAAGTTTTCCTGTCCATTTCAGGGGAGACTTAGGCTGCCTACAGCTAAGCAGGAGCGGCCTCTGTGCGTTCTAATATTGCTCAGCAAAAGGTATTGCTTTGAGGCAAACTCAGGCTTGAAAACAATTAAATTCTCTCCAAAAAGACCCTGAGCTATAACATCTCATTTCACTGATGCAAACTTTGCATGAAACACAATGACCCAAACTTCTCATCCAAACGGGAAAGCTGACAGAGCCTTCCAGGGGGAAGGCCCCTGACTGACCATGCCGTCAAAGCTGGGAGCAGTGAGGTCTGGAGCAGGCTCCTGCCCTGCGCAAAACTCTTGGAAATGAGGTGCAGAGGTAGCGTGTGGGAGACGGAACTTCTCCTGCCTGGTGCTGGCTGTAGTTCCAGCCATGGGCAAGGGTTTGGCTGCATCGGAGGGGCTGTGGGAGATAGGTAGCCCTTCACCTCCAAAGCGCTTCTCTGTGTGATGGGACTTGGTCTGTGAACTGTCAAAGTGTGCCTCGTCCCCGGCGTGGATTCTGATAGATTAACCATAACCTCTTAGGAGACGTCTCGTTGGAGGGGTCTGGGTGACCCGTACCAAAGGGAGGGTTAGCGCTGGGGGATGCTGGGCAGACGCCTGGACAAAGGACCACGTCAGACAACGAGGTGCCGGGGCTCTGCTGGCCCCCGCAGGACCAGCACCGGGCTGGTCCAGGCGCCCACGACGTGGCGGCAGGTCTCCGCTGGCGCAGCAGGGCCTGCTCCCGCGGAGAGACGTGGGGATG